ACGTCGCCGGCCAAGACAAAGACTGGCATATCCTTTGCCTCTACCATTGCCACTACCACTACCTCTGCCTCTGCCCCTACCCCTGCCCCTGCCGTTGCCTTTGCGCCTTTGGTAGAAACAATAACCATGCAACAATATTGCCGACTCTGAAACGAGTCGTTGCTGCTGCTGCAGCGGAAGCCGCTTAAGGTCGCTTTCAACAGCTAAGCCAAACAGCCAAAGTATATCATCATAACCACCTACTTCCATGGCAACGCAATTGGCGGGCCCGAGCCCCGATGAGAGAGCACCAACAGCACCACCAACAGCAGCAGCAGCAGCAGCAGCAGCGCCAACTGCTCAACGCGCCCTCAGGCGACGCAGCAGCAAATCGAAGACGCCGCCGCCGCTGATAATGATGAAGGTGTTGCTGTTGTTGTTGTTGTTGTTGTTGCTGGTGTTGTTGCTGGTGTTGTTGCTTGGTGTTGCTGCTGATGACGCCGATGACGCGAATGCCCAGCCGCAAGATGCCGCAACTCTGGGCCAAGCAGCCGCCGTTCAGCTCAAACTTTTGTCACGCTACCAACTGCAAATGGATTCATAAAATGTATATGAACTTGAATACATATACATATATACAGCTATATATGTGTATATCGCGCTCTCTTCACATTTATTAATTTATCTTTAATATGCTGCTTCAGCTGCTCAGCCGTCTGCATTGCGAGTGTAGCGCATTCGTTGGGCCTGGCTGGCTGGCGCCGCACTGCGCCGCTAAATGGGATCAGTTTTGGTAACGATTTAACGAGTTGATTTCACTTCAGCGATTGCCGCCGCCGTACCCGAACCCGAACCCGAGCCCGAAGAACCCGAACCGGATTAGCAGTTAGCAGCGTCTCTGTCTGTGGATCTGCGCGGTGGCCATGGCCAATGTCTACACAACAAGGTGACGGCTTATAATGACGGCCGCGGCCAGAACGGACAATGAGCCAGAGCCAGAGCCAGAGTCAGAGACAGAGTCAGCATCCCGGTCCCGGTCTGGCTCTGACTCTGACTCTGGCTGAGGCGTTTGTACCTCCCATGGCCAGGCCATGGCTGAAATCGCGCTCCTGTTGTGGCCTTTGATGCTCATACAGCTTGCATGTGTTTTATTTTATTTTATTTCAGTCTCTGCTTCTTCTTCTTCTTTTGCATCTTCTCCTGCTTTTTTTTTTTTGTTTTTTGGCTGCCTTGTTGCTGTTGAACGTGGTCTGTGCCTGTGCGTCTCCTCTTTTGGGGCTTTGTCAGGGGCGTTACCCAGTGATCATCACGCGTTTGCGCTGCTTTTGTTTTCCTTCCTTCTTGTTGCTGTTGTTGTTGTTTTCGCCCTTTGCTTAATGGGTGTTATTTTGTTTTGCCGTAAATATTTTTGCAATGGGCGCTAATTAAGTTTGGCTCTGGCGATCTGCATCCTTCGCACTTTGTTATGTGTGAAACTTTTAAATTTCGCGCGTCGGCAAACATGAAAACCAAACGCACAGCGCTCACCAAATTACCGACCATTAATGGGGCAGCAGCCCCATGGTAAGCCCCTCTCTCTCTCATTGTCTCTCACTCTCTCTCTCTCACACACTTCATCCCTTTGGCCTGCAGCTTCAACTTTCGTACAACACGTAGAACACGTATAGCACTCTAAATACGGCCAACTCTTTGACTCCGCGCTCTGCTGTACAAACAAATATTGAGACTTGTTAAATTGGCTACGCGTTGCGTATACGCCCGATGCGCCCTAGACGAGCTACGAATACATCTGGCATTTGGTATTTGCTGTGCTCAAATACACAACAAATGTTGCATAGTCAGAATGAAAAGCAGAGGGAAAAGCAATAAAAACAAAATTCAAGTTCAGCTCGAAATGAATTCGATGACTCAGGTCGCTCGCTCGACGCTTGAGGCTGCATTTATTTATTTATTTTTTATTTATTTATTTATTTTTTATTTTTTTGTTAGTAGCTGTTTCAAATCGATTGGCTAATAAATTAGCATTATTATGTGGTTACTATTCGAGTGTCGTCAGAAATTGTTGAGCTCCAAGTCATGCGCTGAGCTGGCGTCGCCTCCCACTGATCGAGCGAGGGCAAAAGCTGATACGACTTTAGTCTTCTCAATGTAAAGAAAAAACAAAAAATATTATAAACTCTAATCAGACCGATTCCTTATCGATTTAATTATGTGTGTGTGTGACTAAGTCTGGCTAACCGCTGCTATTTCTGATATGTTCAGTTTCGCGAAATCGAAAGCTATTCCAGGAGCAATACTAATTATGCTCTAGTTCAAGTGGATTTGACTTGGGAAGGCGCGTGATTGATTCGCCTCCAGTTGGTCATGCTTTGCATATTACTCATACGCCGCACGGCACGTCATCCAGCGCTCATTACACATTAGACATTTCACTTATTAGGTAATAATACAATATTCGGCTCACAGTGCGATCGGCCCCGGGCCCCGGGCCCCGGGCCCCAATCGATGGGAAATACCAGCCGACACACAACTGCATGCCAAAGCATGAGCGAGCAGTTCCGAAAAGGTCTTTGCGAAGGCGCCGACTCGATCAATTGCTGACCCCAAAGGTAGCAAAAACAAAAAGCAAACAAACACACACACACACAGACACAGAGATTGGAAACTTAAACAGTCAAATGGCAACTTCACGCCCGCGCCGCTACACAATAGTTTAAAAATAGCTTGGGCCAATCATGCGAGTGCTAAATACTGGGCCATGGAGTCGCCTCAATTGGCGACGTCTCCATGAGTAAGAGCGCTCAATAATTTTTAGATTGATCATGTTTTAGGCATGGTGAAATTTAGCCTACGTTTTGTGACAATAAGTGTGCGCTCTCTCCCTCCCTCCCTCTCGCCCTCTCGCTCGCTCACTCGCAATGCGGGCGCGAAAAAATCATGAATGAACCTCCAATGTGGCGACAACAAGCACAAGTGTACATGTAAATGTGTGTGTGTGTGTGTGTGTGTGTGCGTGTGTGTGAGAGAGCAAGCTTGACTAGCCGGCTGCATGGCAGACACCGCTACGTATGAGTAATTGAGTTCTTGTGAAATTGAACGGAAATAACTGAAATTTTGTATGAGGCTCCGTGACGTCGGCATTTTTTTCATTTCAAATGCTCTCTCTCTCTCTCTCACACTCGCGCTCTCTTGGCCAGTGTGCGTGTGACCCAAGTTTTTACAGCGATGAATAACACACGGTTTGCAGCACTATTCGGAAGTGATATGTGTATCAAGCATTTATAGAGGCTTATGCTTCCGCTGGTCCAAAGGTCCAACTGATAGCAGGCCACGCCTACCCCACTGATAACGGAACTATTGTTAACAAATGTTCACAATTTGGTAATCAAAATTTTGTTGTTCCGCCAGAAGAGTCAAAATACGCTTTGTTTATTTTGCAAAGAGCAGCAAACGAGAGAGAGTGAGAGAGCGTGAAGAAAAGTAAATAACACATACGAAAAACGCCACAGTGAGAGAGAGAGCGAGAGGGAGAGAAATACGAAGCGCTCAAACGTTCGGCTCGGCAGCGTTTGCCAAATGCATAAACAGCTGATCGCGCTGCGAGCGCCAGCTGGCCCACCGCAGCCGCGCCGCAATCAGCACAACAAGAAGAGAGTGAGAGAGCGACGCTAGCGAGAGAGCTACAGACGACGCGACGTCACGCAGCAGCGCTGCTAACGACTGCAGCAATGCGCTACACTTGCGCAAATCCAACGAGCTGCTGCAGCTGCTTGGGCAATGCCATATGAGTGTGGCAACGGTGCTGAAAATATGTGAATCACATTTATTGTCTTATGTCTTATTGGCAACTGTTGTTGGGACAATTGTCGTTCAGTTGAGCGTTTGCAGGCCAGCCCGAGCAATTGCAAAGCGCTTGGTACTATTGATATGCCTCACTCCAGATCTGCCGCGTGCAGGGCACACTCACAGTTATTCATTGTTTTTGCTCAGCTGTTCGGCAACTCTCGCCGGCGTTCGGCCGACGCTCGGCAGGCTTGAGTGTAACTCTCTCTGTGCGTGTGCCTGTGTGTGTGTGTGTGTGTGTGTGTAGAACAGCTGTTGCGAGCGCTGCTGGTAGTTGTGATTGGCAAGGCCAGCGTTACATTAGGGGGCGGCGTCATCTAATTAATGCAGCTACCTTTATATTCTTGCCATTCACAAACAGCTATTAACTTTAGTCGGGATTATTTAATGCTTACTTGCTGTTACTAGTCATTCGCTTTACGCAGACGCTACCCACACACAGGCTCGCGATTGTCGATTCACCCAAGCTCACTCACACTCACACATGCGCTTGCGCGCGCTCAAAGGCGTTCGCGAATCTGCACACTCACACACACATGGACAGATACAGTTACCCACGCTTACTCACACCAACGAGCATAAATTCTTGGACAGAGGGGGCCCACCTCGTTATACTCCTCATTAGTACGCTCATAGTAACTGAGGAGTTTAGTTCGTTCGCTGCTGTTGCTCTGCTTGTGTCGCTGCCGCTGTCGGTGTCTCTGCCCGAGCCTCTGCCGCTGCCGTTGGTGCCTGTGTGTGACGGCGACTCTGCCTCAGCTGTTGCCGCTCTCTGCGCGAAAGTTGGCAAATAGAGAGCCCGAGCCAGCCCGAATCCGATCGCCGGCCACTCGATTCAAATCAAAACAGGCAGTCAAACACAGCGCGTCGACGTTTAACCAATATACATAATATATCTGCAAGATACTAATTCGTAAAACATATACACTATATTTATTGTTCATATTTTGTATAAAGCGTGCATCGAAGTTTCATCATTATTATTTTTTTTTGTCTTTTTTTTTTTTTTTGTTTGCTTGTTGTATTGAATTATTCTCGAAGTGCATTTCAATCTCGCGAGTTTATTGTTTCAACAACCAAACAGAGGCGCGAGCGCCCTCTCACGCATTTTTTTTGACTCAACTATTGAACTATATATATATACGGATATATATAAATAAATATACATATATATAAATATAGAAAGAGAGAGACAGAGAGAACATATTGCAGAGGCTCTTCCAGCGCGGCTCGCACAGGACTCATTGGAAATTTATGTGTAAATGGTGAGTATTAATTTCATTATTTTTCGAATTGTGGCATTTTGCTTCCACCTCACACACACACACACACACACACACACATAGCTTGAAAAATTTTCCCATCAATTGCCTTATCGAACAGTCCGTGTATTGTTGTTGTAGTTGTAGTTGTCATTGATTTTGGCTGTGCACTTTTTTTGCTTTTGTTTTTTTTTTTGTTCTTTAAGCAAACCAACCTGACGCTGCGTGTTCCACCTGATAAGTAGCGCACGACTAACCAGATATATAATATATATATGTAATATATATGCATATAGTCACATATGAGAGAGAGATATATATATATATATATATATATATATATATATAGAGAAAGAGAGAGATACTTGTTCTAGAAGAATTATAGCTAGGAATTTACGCCAAACTTTTATTACATACATATTTGAATTGGGACACCTTGACCTACATGGGTGCAAATTCCCTAACTGGCTCCGGCTGCCTTAGCAAATAGTACTAATGCCGTTTGGCGCAATGTGCTCTAGAGGCTGATACAAAAAGTGCTGGAGTAAGCCGCGATTCCTAGGAAATCGTCATGCGTTTATCAGTGCAATAATACAATAATAAACGATTTCCGGCCAGAGCGACTCTGGGATACCCTGTAGAGCATTGGAGTTGCCGCTGAATAGGTCAACAAGGAGGGGGAGATGCCCAACTTATTGAAAGATTGTTGAATTGACGGTCGCATGCACCCAATACTCAACTGGGATTGGGGATTGCTTAAAGCGGTGTTACTTGAGTTAGATAACGTGTATGCTTATATTAAAGCTCGATTGCATATACCCTATATTTAGCTGAGACTAATTGCAGGGTAGACGCTTAGTTGTTCGACTAATAAGAAGTAGAGGGTAATAGTTCTGCAAACGTTTGTCAAAGATTGCTGAATTAACTTTTGCATTTTGTATAACGACTGCCATATACCCTGTATTTATCAGATTTGAATCCACAATATAAGCTTTGCTGTTAGGAGGATACGAGATGGAGGGGGGCATTTTAGGAAAGTTTTGTTAAGCGCTTTTAATAACGGTTACATATACCCTAAATGGAGGATATGTAAGAGAGACCCAGAGAGACTTACTTCAACTAAGTGAATTCCTGTATATCTAATTACAATTGTATATACCCTATGACAGCCTGGCAATGAGTGCAGGGTATACATTCAGCTGCTTGCGGGAAAAGAGCTAGAAAGAATGACTTCACTTTACTTTGGAATATGCAACAAGCATTGCATATACCCTATATTAACTGCCCTGCAGGGTATGCCGCACTAGTGTGGATAACTGCAGCTAAGATTAGTTAAGGCCAATCAAAATTCACCTTTCAATAATAACTGTCAATATACCCTATACCCCTGCAGCAGTCGGCAGTGCGGGGCATGCCGAGCTGGAGTTGAAATGTCATTCAGCACACCTGACTCAGGTGGAGAGCGCGGCCCTCGGCGGCGGCAGTTGGCGAAAAACAAGTTCAATTCAAATCAAACATGTGAAATTAATTTACACGTTCGGGGCGGGGCGGGGCGGTGCGCATGGCAATGGGCAGTGGGCGGCCGATGGGGTGGGTGGGCACGTAGGGCGCAGAGGGGAGGGTGTGGGATGAGCTGCTTTGTTTGGCAACAGCAGCGGCCGCAACAAGTCAGAGCGTGCGCGACGATGCGTCAGCCAGCAACAACGCCGGCCTCTTGGCATGGAGCGAGAGCGGGAGAGCGGGAGAGAGAGCGAGCGAGCGAAAGAGAGAAAAGCAAGGTTCAAAGACAACAGTCGAAAGAGACAAACGGCCGATGCCAATAGCAACGTTGACTTCGGCCACAAAAAGCCAACTTCAGTGAATTTCACAAAAGTGTGCAAGAAGCCAGCGGGGTGGGCTGAGTTCGTTGACTTTGTAGCGCAGTGTTGCCGACTGCGTACGTGTGTGTGTGTGCTGCGGAGATTCGCTTATGCCTGATGATTCAGCCAAATTAAGACTTTTATTTTAAATAATTATGTCAGCGGACGCACACACACGCACATACAGACAAAATAAAAATAAATCCAACTACATTGACATTAACAACAACAACAACAACAACAACGACAGCAGCAACAACAGCAAACGATAACGATAACGTCAGGCCAAGCACGTTTTGGCCAAATCACTCTTAGCCCAACACACGCCATGAAACACAAACAAAAGCAAAAGGCAAACAAATACTAAAAAAACAACAACACTTGACTAACGGGAATCCCCTTGGCAAACAAACTGCATTGTTTTGTGTTTTGTTTGGCTTGTTTTTTTTTTCATCCATATTGTATCATTTCGACAGACGACAACTGTTGCTCAGCTTCTAGCCAGCAGCAGCAGCAGCAACAACAGCAAAACGGGGAACACACGGAAAAGGCGAGACACGCCGACGACGACGACGACGACGGCGAGGGGGGCAAGGCCGCAGCACCAGGAGCAGGAGCAGAGCGCCCGACGACGACGTCCTCCACAGTCCACACAGAGTGCAGCCAAGTGGCGATCGCTGCTAATGCTCGCCCTGATCATGGCTCAGCTGCAGGAGCTGCTGCGATCCGGCAACGCTGGCTCTGGCGCTGGCCTGGCCCTGGCCCTGGCCGCACCAGCAGCCACAGCAGCAGCAGCAGCAACTGCTGTTGCACCACCTGCACCACAAACAACACCACTCATCGACAGCGCCGCCAAGCTGGCCGCCGCACGGCAAACGAGACGAACGCGCCGCATGCAGAAGCGGCACGAGAGCATCAGCTTCAAGATGAGCTTCCAGCGCGAGCTGCGGAACACCGTGCCGGACTGGAGCAATAGCTGCGGCGGCAAGTGGACAGGTCCCGATCGGTCGCCCCCTCCAGTGTTGACGCGCAGGCAGCGCTGCCTCAAGAAGGTAAGCTAACCATATCCCATGCCACACTCACTCTCTTAATCTTTATGGCGCACTCGTATCGCATCGATCGAGTTTGTTCACTGACTGAAAGTTTGCCAGCTAAAAGCATTGCTGATTTATTTGTGTGAAAGAAGATTGACAAGACGAGAGTCGGCCTAGCGATAACGCTTAAGCACGCCCAATGCATGATGCCTGCTGAAAGGGGACGGGAAAATATTTCAATAATATCAGCAACGACCGATGGGGGCCAGATATGCCCACCAATTCATAGTCATATTTGGTCGATGATATTATTGAACCATGATAAGATAGAACGTGTGGGGGGAAACTTAAAAAGTAATTACGAAGAATCCCAAATCTAGCTATTATATAATCAATATTAGTCAATATCCCAAGTATAGCTTAATGAGAGTAGGGCAAACATGAGCAGAGAAATGAGAATGGGAAAGTGAGAGAGAGAGAGAGAGAGAGAGAGAGAAATATGGAGATGAAAGAATTGACTACGACAATGCACCACTAATGGAATAGAATATGAAATGAAAGTAGATGAAGTAGCACTACTTCAAGCAATTGACGTAAAATAACCCAATTTATGTATTATATGAATATATAATATATACATATATTTACTTTATATATATATTGATCTTACTATTTCAACAAAAAATTTCCCAGATTTTTTACACTTTACCTGGTTGAGTTGATTTAGTTTTATGTTCTATGTTCGCACGTTTGTCCGTATGCGCGATTGCGTCGATCTCAGTAGCTATGAGAGCTAGAGACTTGAAATTGGTTGTGTGGGTCAGCGTATAGCAGACTCTTACCATGTTTGTTTCAAAAAATTAATAACTCTTCTCGATTTTTATATATTATATGAATTTTGGTTTACCCTTTTCGAGTTTAGTTAACAAATCAAGAAAGGTGAACAGAGTAATGACAAATGAATTTCCTCTTTCCATTTGATAGTTTATCTCAAAGTATATACGTGTGTATGATTCTCACGTTTATTAGTATAAAATATGTCTTAATGAGGCATTTCCTTATCGTTCCAGTGGCTACGCACATTGCGGAATAAAACGCGGCGCGAGCTGGTGCAATTGCGCGACGACAACGCACTGCGGCACCTGGAGCACTCGGTGAAGGCGCAGGACACCGCCGTCGTCCAGGCGATCGACATCTCCAAGCAGGACACGTGGAGTCTGCACAACAGCCAATACGATTTTCTGCCCCGGGTGAATGTTAGCAAGCAGGTAGGCCAACAACTTTTCACAGGCACTAAATTTGATGCGTGAAGCAATCAATTTGATTAGAGCCAAGCCAAATGCCAAGTGCTTGGCAGTGGGTCACGTGAGGTAGCATTTCACCCGTTCGTCATTGCGTAGGTGCAAAGTAAATCATATAAAGGGGGAAAAGAGAAAAAAATCGCCGTCACAAGCCAACGCGAGTCAGTCATATGAGTGCGGTCGAGCACTTACAAGCGAGGGCCGTTTCGCAAGTAAATCGTATCGGGAGTAGCTGAAATTAAGCATACGCCGAGTGTGCAGCGCTGACACGCGACATTCCTCAATGTCAGCTGCAGCACGTTTCATTAGAGTTATACATGAATATACGAAGGGAAATATAACTATATATACACATTTATACATAAGATATGTGTGCGTGTGTGTGCGCGCTGTGAGGCAGCTGAATTTCATTTCGTATCTCGGCTAATTTGTTGGGAAAACAAAAAACAAAACCTCAATCGAGGCAAATAAACAAAGCCAAACAACAGAGACACGCGCCGTATATGCTATGTGGGCCCGGGCAGCTGATCGAAACGTGATCGTAAATATGCAGATTCATTTCAATGTTGAAGATATAATAATATACAAGTCCCACTCGAAGTCGAAGTCGAAGTCGAAGGCGATGCCGAATTCGAATTCGTATGCGAATTTCCATTTGCAACCCACTCGTAAAAGCTAATGATGCGCTAAAAGCCAAATACACGTAACGAATCACGCGAATTAATAAAAACAAATACAAGTATATGAAAATAGTACAATCAAATATATATACATACATACATACATATACATATGTATGCAAGTGAGAACTTTCCAAACAGCTGTAACCGACTGCAACATGCTCGCTCGACGCAGACTGTCCAGGAATTGGGTCAAAGACATGTGAGAGATTTTATAGATGTTATAGAAATGTTATACATATGTTATATAGATTGCATATGTATGTATGTTATACATATGTTATATAAATGTTATACATACATATGTTTATGTGTGCTATATCTGAACAACTTATGGACTCCTTCCGCCCTAGCAGCTGATGAATGGAGCTGATAAAGACTGTGAATAATGCTTGCCAGCTAGAGCAAGTGATGGCTAATCGTATGATAGTAGCCACCGTATACACACACACACACACACACACACATATGTATGACTTATCTAACATAGCGGGCCAAGTCAGAAATGGGAAGTAGATTACGTTACGTTGCTCACTCAGGCAAAGTGACGTTCAGAAATAGAGCTTATCTGAGAAATCTAAAAATTAAAACAAAGAAGTGCTATAAACAAGTACATACACCTATATATATAAATACATTCACACACATTTATATACATGTAAAATGGGTTAAACATAAAATTTTGCATTTTGGAAATAACCAAAAAATTCTGCACACGTTCCAGCTATATGTAGTTTAATTTTAGAACATTTTGTTCAGCTTTCAATTAACGTAGTCACAAAATTTATGTTTATTTCGTTAGTTTGTTGTTGTTGTTGTTGTTGTTTATATTTTTCTTTTATGGCATATGAAAAACAACAAATTTATTAAGCATTCGCTTTTAGAGCCCAGCTAATTGTGGCCGTAAGCCGAGATGTTCTTAACCTGAACTTTGACTTGACTCTGAAGCTGGCTGAGAAAGCATAAGCTCATATTAAAGTGATTTCGCCTCACACTCCGTCTATCCCCCTCTCGCTCTCGCCCTCGTCCTCGCCCTCTCTCTAAATCAGTCTTAGCCACTGTTGTTTGGCTAATTCCCAGTTGATGCTGCTGTTGTTGTGCTCTGTTCTATACTTAGACAGCTAACATCATCTTCAAACACATTTAGCCAACAATAGTGTGTGTGTGTGTGTGTGTGTTTAATAATAATTGGCATAACAATGAGCGGCTTTCGCTGAATTTCTTATTGACGTCACTGGAGCTGCGCATAGGAAAAAACCCAAAAAAAAAAAAAAAAAAACGACAACAACATAATATAAAATAAAATAAATAAAAAATATATATAAAGAGAAGACAGCAAAAATTACTGGCTCATAGTGAAATCGTTAGGGTTTTGGCCAGAGTTCCGCAACTGATGTGATTTGCTAACCGATTATAATGATGTTGATTGTGAAGTACTCTAGCAGTCACACACTCACACTCACACTCACACACTCACACACTCACTCAGACGACGATGAGGTGTTGATGTTATTCTTGTAATATCGATGACGACCCAGGAAACGTGGGAGTGGGGCTCTGACAGCTAAGCGTGGCTATTTATAAACTGCCCTATAGACGCACACTGCTAGCATTTCCCATGAGTGTGGCTTGCGCAAATCCCAAATCATACAACAACAGCAACAGCAATAGGAGCTAGGGTGCACACTTTTCCCAAGAACTTTCAGCTCACGCGGCCTTTTGACGTCACAGAAAAGCCAACATTTCGCACATATCTGAGTCAGTGGGGCGCTGCAGGGCGCGGGTGCAAGGGTGCGCCGGGCAGAGCTGATAAACGTAGAGAGCGAGCGGGCGAGAGAGAGAGAGAGAGGGAGAGAGAGGCCACACAGATAGAACGATAGAGCGAGAGCGACATGGAACGCGCGCTCGAGCGCGTGAATCATGCGAATGAGCGCGCCGTGGATTCCCCCAGCAGCGGCATGAATGAAAACAAATGACGACCGACAACAACACCAACAACAACAACAACGAGCAAACGAACGAACGAGCAAACGAACGACGACGACGACGACGACGACGAACGAACGACAAACGATGCGACGCGACGCGACGCGACGTCACAAGCACGCGGACGTGAGATACGTTGCGAAACCGAAAGCACAATCAAGCGCAGTTAGCGCGAGAGTGAGCGAGACAGGGCGATGGGCGTACGGGGCGAATAGGCGAGCGAATTTGTGTATGGGCGAATCGGTTGATTTTCACTTTCAGGCAACGTGTCGTATGATTGATTTTGATTATTAATCAGCCAGCGAGTTCAATCAACCTGCGCGCACATGGCCCGGGCACGGGCACGGGGCGTGGCCGAGGGCGGCTGCTTAACGGTTGGCAACCGGTTAGCGGGCCAGAACGAAACCGGTTGGGCCGCGAGCCTTGTGATTACACCGCCCCGTTGCGCTATCAAAACGGATATCGGTGCGATCTATGCCACACCAGATCCACCAATCCAGGCAGCAAATAGTTGCGCTTTCGAACCGGCTCCTCGGCGCTTTCCCAAACGCACTCAACTAATGAAATTCTCTGTGCTTTCCGTTCGTTTTCTTGCAGCTGTCACTGCGGCACGCACATCACGATCTGCAGTTCTACGTGGCCGCATTCAGCTATCTGCGGCACGCCCAGCTGCACTGGGACCTGGACAACCTGCAGAAGCAGAGCGTGCTCTCGGCCGAGCTGCTGCGCCTGCGCAACAGCGCCCGCCTCGTGCTCTGCAACTTTGAGGAGGCCTACAACAGCAGCCGCCTCCATGCGCCCAACCACAGGCCGCTGCGGACGGTGAAGCGTGTGCCGATGGAGAGGAAGCTCCGGAATCTGAAGACGCCGCTGGTGGAGCTGCACCGACGGGCGGTGCTGGCCGCCCACGGCCAGCCAACGGAGAGGCCCAGAGAGCCGAATAGCCTGGATCTGCGATTCGTCAAGTACCAGTACATTCAGTACCTGAAGCACATGACAAAGCTGCTGGCCAAGCAATCCAAGCGGAATTGCAAGGCGACTAAAGCAAACAAGACAAACACACAGCCACCGGCCGGCTAGCGGCCCCTCTGCCTAAGAATTAAGATTTAGTTAGCAGTTATATCAGCATAGCTCCATTTCGAATTCCAACTGAACTGAGCCATCCATCCGACATGCATCCGACTCCGACCCCACAGTTGATTTCATGCACTGAAACTCATTCTCAAAGACGGCTATGACATTCGAATCCGAATCCGAATCCGAATCCGAACCGAACCCGAATCCTAATTGGCCTAAGTTATTATTATTATATTTATTATCTATCATTATTATTTATATGCATACACATATATGTATATTCGAAATTTCTATGGATTTCTGTTTCGTTTATTTTATTTTATTTTATCTTTTTTTTTTCGTTTAGCATAAAACCTCACCGTATTATTTATTTGCAAAACATTCCTCATGTATTCCAATGGAGACATTCGCTTAGCTCTAAGTCCAAAGTATTTTCAATGTTACCACGACTTTTGCCTTGTATTACGATACTGTGATAATAGCTGATAGTTGGGTTGGTCGACCCCAGCCCATCCCACATTGCATATGTAGTCTAATAACGTTAATCAAGTATCTCGCCAAACGTAATCATAAATAGATTATATACACACATACACAAACAGACAGACAGACACACACACACACATACACATACACACATAATATGTTTACATGTACTTACTGTTTCCTTACTCTGTTTATCTAAAACACTAGAAAGCATACTTTCCCATTTCCCACCTTCATCTTTATTATATTGTACAATAAATCTTAAGTAAACCCTGAAGAATTTCGAGCTTTTTATTTATGGTATACGAATGAATTGAGTTGGACTCCATTCAAAAGTAATTAACAGGCGTAAGGAGGCGTGGTCCAGGTCAACAGGTGAGTCCTCGCTCGAGTTCTGCCCTTATCAAGTGTCTGCTCCATAAATACATATGCATGTGAACATATGTGTACCTGCATATACCGCTGGAATAAGTAATATCTAACACAGTTCCGAATTCAATGACAAGAATGTTTTAATCCACTTTATCCAAACGTTGCAAAGCCGAAAGATTCATTCCTACAGCAGCTGCATTGCGCATACGCGGCGTTAGCCCAATTGCAATCGACTTGAAAGAATGACAGACAACGTGAGATCTGGCTGAAATATGCGCTACTGTGTAGACCCAAGAGATACCCTGTAAAGAGAATAACAAAAAAAATACAAATAAAGAGTAAGAATATAACAAAAGAGTGATATAAATAAATAGAAAAGTAATTTACTATATAAATAAATATGTTAATAATAAATCTGAAATAATAATAATAATAATTAAAGAAAAAAAAACGTGTTATAATGATTCTTGAAAAAGAACATAATTAGTAAATAATAAATTACTATTCGTAATAACAAAAACTATTAATAATGAAATAAATTAAAAATAAATAGTAAATCATAAACAATGAATAATAATCAATGGGTTCAGGGTATGAAAGCAAAACATTAAAAATATCTATTCAAACAAAAAATAATATTTATAATAATTAATTATTATTATATACACATACGGCTATAAAAAGAAATTTATTCGTAAATAATAAATTATTTTAATAATTGTAAAAATAAACAAATAATAAAATGTAAATAAAAATATTGAAATAAAACGCATTAATAATAATATGAATTAAAAATATTATGGCATATAAACTTAAAATATAATGAATCTATGTAAAAGTAAAACAAATATAAAAAAATAAAAGAAAAAACTAAATAAGAAAGTTGAAACGTATTGATTAAATACTATTAAGTGAAGAAATAACATATAAAAATTAAAAGAGGTATATAAAAATTAAAATAAAAGATTATTCCAGATATTACAAAATTAATAAAATATAAATAATAATAAAAAAAAACAAATATAATAAAACAAAAACATATACAATAATAATATATTTTTAAAATAGTAAATCATATAAATATTTTTATATTATATTTTCAAAATATAAAATCAGAAAAACAATCAAGTAATACAAAATTAATTTCTATAATAATTAAACATAAAATATAAACACACATCAAATCGAAAACAAATAATATAAGAAAAGGGAGAACAAAAAATCTGCAAGCTAAAGGAGAACAATTAATCTAAGTTAAATTGATAAATAAAATAAAATGAATGCTATTCTAAATCAACATGTAATAGCCAATACAACCTCTGGGCCCACATACACAGGGTATTGCATTACACACACACACACACACTCATGTACATGTGTATAAAATACCGCAACAATTCAATTTCGAATTGTTGGAGTTTCCTTTTAATTGAAGCCAGAAGTAAATTACGCGGCATTTATAGACTTGTACAAATATTTTATGAGCCATATAATAATACCACAGACGCATTGCGCTGATCTGTTTGCTGTTGTTGTTGTTGTTGTTCTGATTGTTGCTGCTGCTATTGTTGTTGTTGTTGTTGTGGTTGGGTTCCTTCTCAACCTTTTTACGACATCAACTCAGCGACAATTTTGTTGGTGTTGTTGGTGTTGGTGCGGCATATTTTTGGTTTTTTGTTTTTTTTTTTTGGTCTTATCAAAGCAGAGGAATCTACGCACACCCTGGACTTGGACTCGGTTCGGGGTCCATGGTCAAAATCTGAGGTTTTCGATGTGTTCGGGGCTTCCTTTTGTGTGTTACTAATGTCTTTCAGCTTCTCTCTCTCGCTCTCACTGTCTGAGCGTGTGTGTGTGTGCGTGTGTGTGTGTGTGTGTGAGTTTGTCGCGGTTTCCACCAATTGCCCTGCGCCTCGTCCGTTTATCTCACACAATCAGCAATTGTCATTAATTTCGGACGCTGTGTACGTGCTCCGATTTGTCTCTCTTGAATTCTCAGTGACTGATTCAACAATTTAATATGCAGCAGCAGCGGCAGCAGCAGCGACTGCAGTCACCGCCAAGATCATGGCCAGAACAGTGCCGTGGCATGCCAAACCACGGAGCGATCATCTCAGTGCCCCTGGGACACTAAAGATGCTTATCAATTTTGATTTTATTGTGACCCCGATGCAGCCTCTTGCCGCCGTGTAGAGGAGACATGCAACTATGCGCAGTCGGCGCACCATTCACCAAAAAAAAACAAAAAAAAAGAAACAGCAGCACACACACTTACATACACATACACATACACATATATGTGTGACTCTGCTTTGTCTCCCTCCCACCTGGCACGGCCCGCGGGCTATTGCAGTTGCACCCGCCTATCGCCGTCTCTTTTGCGCAGCAACAACCCTTTGGCTGGCCGTAGCGCCGCGTTCTCTTTTAATGGACTTTCCAGCAAGTGCACGTAGTGCTCATCTATCTTAAGTTTTGATAGGTTTTTACGAGCGTATTTATGCGATGGCCTTTATTAAATTGAAAATTATGTCTTTCTATGAGAAATGTCTAAATTGTTGTCTCCACTCTTTGGTACTAGGTACTAGGCCCATTTCTGATACGCATATGTGTGTGTGTGTGAGTGTCGAACATATGTGACTCTGTGTGTTCCTCAATGAACTTGCGCCCTGGGTCTGGCACAGCGACTGAAACAGATTTAATCTAAATGTTTATTTGGTCTCTTTTTTAGTTTATATTTTTTCAGTTTTTGTTTTTGTTTTTTTCATTTTGTTTCCTTCTGTTGCTGTTTTTGCCGTCGGTCACGTGCAGCTTCTCATAAAATTGTGTAGTTGTATTTTTTGTTTTTTTTTTTTTTTTCCAGTGACAATTAATTAAAAATATCTTATTTCGTTTATGTTTTGTGTTAGCTTGTTTTGTTATTTTTGAGTTATGTTTTCCGCTGCAGATTTATAGATAATGGCGTTACATTTATGGGCCTTAAATGCGCGACTAAGCCAGCCAAGTAATACAAAAGGCCCAAAGGAAATCCCAAAACACACACTCACTCACACACACAACAAACATCAAACCAAAATGCATCCCAGCCATTGGACTCCATAGAAGCCGAGACCCCTTTCCCATCGTAAAGAAAATCCCGTAGAGGTTTTTTTTTTTATATATTTCCATTTTTGTTTAGCCTGTGTAAAATAAATTGCAAAACGTTATTGTTTTATGTCGGGTTTGCGATTTTTATTAATATTTTTTTCCTATTTCTATCTCTAATAATCTCACGACACCAAAGCGCTGCCTCAGCTCTTGACACTGCTCGAATGCCATGGGAATAGGTGAAGAAATCTCTCGATTCATATGCAGCCTCAGCAGTTTCCTCTTTCACAGAATCAAACTCATCTCCGCAGCTGTGAAGCAATCAAATCAAAGATTCAGCATTCGAAACACAGCTCTATTTGCGCGCACTTGTCCGATCTATATAGATACACATACATATATGTATATACATATATGTAGAGCGATGTGTGCGATGTCAACTGAGATCGAGCTGAGTGAGAGCGAGCACAAATGCTGACAACATCTTAAAACTGTGACAAGGTGTTCAGCTTCAGGGCTGCAAGCTAATTAGCAGAGATAGATATAGATATAGATATAGATATAGATATAGATATAGATATAGATATA